CATTGTTTTATATTGTAGATCTTGTTGCTATACTAACATAGACAATGATATACTCGGTTTTTAAAAATCCATAATAACTTGGAGTCTTGTATTACCTCCATACGAGAGTTTAATGTCTCGGTGTGTTTCAAACGTGGACCAGCTGTCTAGAACGTAAGAAAACTTTTTCTTTTCCAAGTCTTATGGTATGTCCTTTCTCTTTTTCTCATTCCCTCAGACAGTGTACCATTTCAAAGTTGAAAGCCTATTCAAAATTCATGTGATCCAACCATATAGACTACGGTTTAAAGTTTTCCTCTTCTAGATCTATTATTGTCAATTTTATTTTAAACAGCGGTGTTTAAAAAAGTATTAACAAAAATGACAAAATAATTTCAATACCTGTAAGATTTTTATTAACCCTTTCAATACAAATGCCGGATTTACCGGGCATCAATTAACATTGTTTTATTAACAATTAACCTACCACTTCCTGTAATTTTTAATAAATTCAGTCAAAATGCATAAAATATAGATTATTCATTTCTAAGTAAAAGAAAATATTTTTATTATCCAATTGGCTAAAATTTCATTCTATATTAAGATGTATGTATTTTTTAAGGAGGTCATTTGACTATGGGAATAGGTATACATGAAGTATCGGTAGGTTTAATGTTAAGTATAATTCTTATTTAACGTTTAGGAAAATGTTCATACAAAAAAGGACTGGTAATGCATTATGTGTGCATTTTCGGGGCGGCAGAAATGTTATGGCGGACACAATGCTTGTACCGAAAGGGTTAAATTCACTTAAATCGATACGTGATTGTTAATATGCCAAAGTGTTACAGAATAAAGGACGCGATTCGTTGCAGTAGGTATCGTTTTGGTTATAGGAATAATTCAAAATCCACTATTAATCATCGGTTTAGGTACGATTGTTGGAGCCAATTCACTTAATGAATGCATTAGTACGTACGACAGCCGACTACTGTGCCAGTTCGGTTTTACCGTTAATCGGAATAACCGAATATCGTGTGGAAGCGTAAACCTTGCTTTCGTGTAATCCCGTTGCCATTGTATTTTGCACGTGCCACATTTGGACAGTAATGTAAATAATCTAAAACACACCATATCGCGACATTTCTAATTGTTTATCGAATATACTTTTTAAATGATTATTAAGAAAAAAGAAAGAAAGTAAGAAAATTTCCGAGGAGTATATATATATAAATCGAAGATGATATCATAATATATTATCTCGAGAATATTTACATCAATAAATCAATTGGATCCGCTTTAAGAAACTGTTATCATGGTTTCTCGAGTGTATCGAGTAGAGGATCAAAAGAAAAGTAGTATAGAGCTTGTCGCGATGTCGCTTATAAATTTAGCTTAAGGTACCGTTGACCATCGACCATCGATAACCATCAAGCATCGATCGAAACGAACGCTTTGCGTACCCTTTGCGCCCTAGCTAAGAGATAAGCTTCGAAACGACGACGTAGGAATTAGTATCGTCCCATGAATCAGAATTAATTCAAATGTTAACACGATCTCCTTTTTTTTCATCTTTTCTTTTATTTTTTATGCACACATATATGTAAGTTTAACTTTGATAATAAAGTAATATAAAAATAAAAATGAAAATAGACTTTCTCAAATAACTCAAATTATTTAATAATGCAAAACGGTTGTTCATTTTTTCGTATATATATTTTTTATCTCTTCCCTCGATTTTGAATCGAAATAGAATATTTGCAAAAGTCATTGACGTTATACACTTCGTTTATTTTCCTTTTTTTTTTTTTTCGTCAAAGTTATTTCAGCGATTCAGAAGCACGATCGTTATTTCTAATATAATCGAACGACCATAAGTAGTGTCAAGTCCAAAATGCCAGCTAAGCCTTTTAATAAGGGAGTCTAGCCACACTATGGCATACGATGCTCGACACGTTATTACTTCGGATAGTTGCATACTTGGAACGCCACAGTCTAGCCTTCCTATCATCATAGGCAACCTAGAGCCTCGATCTCACACGATAGCCGACCATGAAAAGATTTTCCTCGATCGCACCGTCAACACGTATATACTTATATAGGTACATATATTTATATACCTACATACACGTATACACACGCACACACAAACACAAAAGGCTGTGTATATATAGAATAGAATACATCTATAGAACATCTTTGAGAATGTATGCAGGACTTTGAAGCATTTCCGTGGGTTTCCTATAAGATCTGCCTCTGTATATTCGAAGCTTAACCGAACAACACCCACTCATGTATATATATGTGTCGACGTAACACGCACTGGAAATCCCAAATCGACGTACGCTTTCCTAAACGTCACATAGCTCTCTCTCTCTCTCTCTCACACCCTTCTTACCAAGCGACAGTTACCAGGCTGTCAGATGCACGGATCGAGCAACTCCAACAAAGAGGCAAATCGTTCGGCTACTCGGAAAATACCTAAGCGAGTTGCAAAAAGTACTATCGAAAGTGGTCGCTGGTAAGTATTGCATAGGAACGTATATACAACAAGAGAAACTAACCGAGGAGTAGGCGAATTTATGCAATACTTCTCGATCCATTCTCGAACTTCCTTTCACGACGAACGGGTTAATGTGCATTAGAAAATAGGATGAATTAGAATTTTGAAAAATTATTACGTATTGATAGGTGTATCTCCTATCCATATTTAGCTACTTATATACACACCAAATCTTGAATTATTATACATTGAGAAGTTTGCGATATATCGACGTTGTCATCGTTTCGGAGTTGGTGGAAAAGGTTCTCGACGTTATTAATATCGATGATACCGAAGGGGCGTAAACGAGTGTGAAATTTCTGAGATAACTTGATTACGATGCGGCACGTGCTAACGTAATAATCGGATAGAAAGTTACGAGCTTCGTTATTATCGCGCTCGGTTAGCGGTCGATCTAGAAACCCTTAACGAGGCTGAGATATAATATGACGGGACAAACGAACGATCATCGATCGAATTTGTTTTCGCAAAATGATCCTCGATAAAAATACATATATGTCAAAACGAATCGCGAATTGAGAAATGTAAGAAAAAGATCGATAAGTAGATTTAATAATTAATTCAAGAAAAAAACAATATTATTATGATTTCCGGATAAACTTTAGCTTTCTCTTTTCTCGAAAAGTCATATTTATAAAGAACCGTTGAAAAATCAAGATTTTACCAGCGTTAAATGGCATATGACGGTTTAGTTGTTTGACCGAATTAAGAATGGTTAATTTAGTTCTGAAATACTTTGTGACCCAGTGAACCACCGCGGTTTTTTCGCAGTTTTGTTCCCCAGGCTTGGCAAGAGAAAACGCTCAGATTAATCCACGACGGCAATCGCGTAGAAAATAAAACGTTTCACGCGATAGCGAAAGCTCAATATATATATATATATATATATGTATATATGTACGTATTTCGTATGTGTTGTACATTCGTAAGTGCTACCATGTTCGTTCATTCACCCATTCCAGATTTTACACGACAGGGATGCCTTTTAATGCATTTCGAATAGACACTAGGAAACAGTAGCGTAAAGTGCAGAAGGAGCTTTTTATTTTGACAATAATTGTAACCTCCCCGTTCGCCTAATTGGACGGCAATTGGCTAGAACTTGATCAATAAGAGCCATCTAGAACAGAGATTGCACATCTCCGGGGTAACAATTCGCAAAGACAATTAGCGGCCAGATTAGAAGATGAAGGCATCCAGCCGCCGAAATTTCGAAGCTCCGTAATCGTCAGCCATTCCTATCGACCGTTTTCAGCATTCAAGCAAAATCACTTTTACCATGACTACAAAATGAACACGTTTGTGTTCAATTCTCACCAGAAGGAATCTACTTCCTTTCCAAAATAGATGAGGATATTTGTCAGTTCGATACTTCGACGGATCTTTTTCAAAAAGGACCTTTCTTAACGTAAAAAACACTTAATACTGATAGAATATTTAATAGCGAGAAAATCTAATAAAAAATATCAATCTCTTAATATCGTTATTTTTAGATTTCTTAATGACTCGATAAAAGCCGCAAGATTTAATTTTAATGCTTCGATTCCACTTTTATTAGGAAAAAAATATTAAACTACTATACTTCTTTTCTATCTGCTTTTTTACAAAAAGAATATAGAAAGCACTTCAACGTGACATTCAATCTCTTCAAAAAAAATTGTATTTAAACTAAAAATATCACCTTTCTATTACTCTATCCACATTCGTCGTTAATTACTCGGATATAAGTACTTGTATTATATTACTTGTAAGAATTGAAATAATTGAAAAATAATTTACATGACAGATAATACAGAAATGATACCATAGGATTTTACTTTTTTTTAAATTTAATTAATCTTACTAATTACCAAAACGACTCTAACAGATATACTTCTTTTATTAAATTAATGAAAATTAAAATAAAAATCGGTTAAATGTCGCACTTAATCGTTCAGCATAATCGTAGAAAGTAGAAAAGAAAGAAAGGAAAATTTAAACGTAAGAAGAAAAAAAGGAAGGAAACTGTGGGAATAACAGAAGGGGATTCGTTTAACAGGTACTGGTAGCTAGGAATAATTTACAATTTTCGTCAGAGTCGTCTGTCGCGAAAGCATAACGCGATTTCCATCAAGTTGGAGAGAACGAATCAACGAAAAAATAGAAACGAACGAAGGAGAAAGAAAAAAAAAAGAAAAGGGTGGATAAACGGGGTCGTCGACCGTCTCTTCGGCCATTCTCATTTGCATCTTTCTCGTTACGTTGAAACGTAAAAACGGGATAGAAAATATGAAATCGACCGAATCACCGCTCCCTTTCTGTCTGTCCGCAGATTCAGTTTAATTTGGGATGTTTCATTCAAAAGTTTGTCCTTTCAAGGATAATTACCACTTCATATATAATAATAGTAATACAAAATTAATATAAAATATAATGCGTAAAAAGAAAGAAGTAACTTTTAGGAAGTCTTAATACTCACCTAATTCTGGACCGCAGACACGTGGAATTATTTCAAGAATAGCACTACAGGATGGATCCTCGAAACAGAGTTGACGAGCGTAGAGGCAATTTAATATAGCAACACCCTTTTTGATATCGGATCCTAAAACAATAGAAAAAAATGTCTTTGTTCATCATTTGTCAATTATTTTTATCCTATATTTCGCGCTATAGCTTTATCATATTTTATACTTTAATTTAATCCGATGAAATATAGAGAATTTCTAAAGAGGATTTGTCGATACTTGAAAAAGACTTATTGTTTAATATTAAAAATATTGCATTAAACGTTTTCTATAAGAAAAAAAAACAAAAAATTATACGCATTATTGTACTATTGTTATATAAATAAATATAAATAATGTTTTCGACTGGAGTCACAAACGTCTTTTAAACTTCCATTCAACGAATAATAAAAAGAGAATTTGAAAAAAAATGGTAAAACAGCGATGGAAAAATTGAAAGGAAGAAAAAAAGGTCAAAAGAGAGAAAAAGAGAGAGGGATAGAGTAAAAACAAAAAAAAAAAAAAAAAAAAAAAAAAGGAAGAATCGGAGCGAACTATATCGCACGCCCTTACGGATTTTTACGAGCCACTCGCGAAACGGAAGTCGATAAAAGAAGACTCCTGGGTGCTGCAATTAATTACGAAACGTTCGCCACCGGTGCAACCGGCCATAAAGCACACTCTATATTACGGTGCCACTCTCCTAGCTGAAGCTCTGCTTTCGACTGAACTCGCGAGGCTGAACCACCGAGATAAATAAATTTTTGCGATCATCATTCCCGAAACGAAGGATTTTTTTAAGCTCGATCTCTCTTCTCTCTCTCTACCTCTTACGTTCGCAAATTATTCTAATTATTATTTTCTTTTATCTCTCAAATTTTTTGTTCTTCCCCGAAACCCTCTTCGCTCTTTTCCATTATCGAAAAAAATAAACTTGAAATGCGATTCATCGATCTACCAAGGAGACGAAACCGAACTCTCGTTTTTCTCTCTTTCTTTCTCTTCTTCCTTTTTATGCAAATGAATATCGAGCTTCCGGAAAAAAGAAAGAGAGAGAAGAGGTAAGGGTAGGGGAAGAAAGAGAAAGACCGAACGTACGTTCTCTCGTCGCGATAAACTATAATTATCGACACGAAACCAGTTTGCCGTTCGCGTGCCAAAATGCAATCTCGTTTATCTCGAAGAAAGAGCGTGTGTTGAGAGTGTCGAAATTAAATCGTAAACTTGCCGATCGTCCTTAACGAATGAAAAAAAAAGAAAAGAAAAGAAAAATAAAAAATAAAAGAAAGAAACACTTGTTATAATATTTCTCATTCGATTCCTTCTGTGAAACTTCACGAGTAGGTAACATCGCATAACGTCTTCGAATAAGTACAACTATGATAATAATAATTTGTCGGTCACGTCGATGGCCACACTATAACGTCCGCGTTTCTAACGTAAATCATTCCCGTGGTTTATTGATGCGCAATAAAATGAAGGAACGGAAAAAGAGTAAGAAAAGTCGTAAAAATGTGCCGAGAAGAAAGTAGCGATAGAAGAAAAAGGCATAAGAATTGCATGGAATAATATTTCCATTTCACTTTATTACCTTTTGACTCTAGCCTTCTTCTTTCATCTCTCTTCCTTTCGTGACAAAATTATTCCTCCTTGTTGCACACTATAACTACCTTTTTCTCTAACCCTTTCTCTCTCTATTTCTCTCTCTCTCTTTCTCTCTTCCTTACTCTTCTTCACCCTTTCTTTTTCTTTAAATCTTACGTCACGTTTACCCACACCTTTGTAATCGCTGTTCGTTTCATGCGAATAACATAAATTTTTCACCCTCGTACCTTGTCATTCGTGCATAAACTTGATGATATTACGATGAAAATACATTTTACCAAGTGTCTGATTACAAAAAAAACGTAAGATTCTATTTGTTGAACATGTTGATGAATTAAATACGATAAATATAATTTAAACGATATCCTCTAAATATATTTCGTTAAATTGTAAGAAGAATGTGATCATAGATACGTATAAACGTTCCATGACGATTGAATCATCCTCCTTTTACAATATTATCTCTGTACAAACCAAAACTGATATTATTTTCTTACTTGCAGTTTCTAGGTTAATAAAAACATTAACAATTCATCCGACCGAGCTTTCTTAACCTTTTCGTTGAAAAATTTATACAATCTTGAAGTTAAAATCTATCTATAATCACAGGGTAAACGGTTTATTTAAATGCAGTTGTAAATCTTATCATATAGTCAATAATCGATGTAAGCAATTAAATTTACAGAAGGTTTGATGTATATATATATATATTAGGATAGTCGTTTATTTTTAGTATCTCAAACAATACCAGAACAAAATCAAAGATTTCTTAGCCAAATTATGACGTAGACGGGACTTCAACTAATTTCATCTTGTCACTAATCTTTTCATAAATCATTATTTTTTTTCGTCTGATGAGTATAATCCTCAGTTTAGCTCGAAATAAATGTTAAAAAAATCATATTCAAATTCCAGTCCTTATATATTTAAGTAAACAAAAAAACCATGAAAATGAAACATTTTTTGTGAATCTAAAAATATTCGACATATAAAGTATCCTGAAAATATACGATTTTCGTACAATAATGAAATTTTTTCAATTTTTTTTTTGGTTTTCTAAAAAAAGAAATCATGTTATTATTTAAGTATTAAAAACTATGTCCTTGAGCATGCTCTAATAAAAAAGAAAACGAACCGCAGTTTGAAGATAATTTTTTTTTTATTTATTTCAAGGTAAATTGTGAAAGAGTAGGAGTGTACTCATCAAAATTCCTTAAAAAGTTTTATATGATCACAATCCTTATATAATATATATATATCTATATACCTTTACAGATTTTAAGCAAGTATTTCTTATTACGATAGTCATCATTAAATTACAGTGGCCGGATTAAAAGTAATTATGCATGGTCAAGATATTATTTAAGAACATTCACGCACGCATCGAACCTAAAAGAACCGTTGTTCTTTACGCGACACACGATCGACCGCACGAAAACTTTTCCCTTATCGCAGTTTGACGATTCGGTAGATTAAGTGGAAGCGAATGTAACCCTTGGGAAAGCTCGATGTTGCAGTGCTGTTGCGCAAGCCAAGTCGTGCTATGCGGCATAATAATTATCGTCCTTCGTTCGTGGTAACAGAAGTTCACGTGAATAACCTAATTGTGAGGGGGCAACGAGTAAAAAAAAAAAGAAGAAAATTAAAAAAATTCGAGCTTAATGATTCCTCTCGAGACCGAGCTTTTTGTTGATTTCAAAAAATTTTCATTTCTTTTTTTCTCATTTATAAATTTTTTCTTGATAAATGCTATAAGATAGAAAATCAGACTTTACTGATATCTATAAAGAACATATGATAGATTTTCTATATTAGATATATCTATAATAAGTAAAAGTAAAAACTTGTAAAAAGAAATATACGTATTACCTGGCTATACTACTATATTGATATTAGTTTCGAATATATCCGTGAGATTGTTCTGCGAAGTCAGATAAGTGTGCGGGCCGAAATGAACGAAACCAATAAAAGAAACAGAAAAAAGAGAAAATAGAAAAGCAAAAGAGAGAGAGAGAGAGAGAGAGAG